CATTATGCCAAGTGTACTCTTCGACTGAGTTTAATTTTTTGCATTCAGTTGTTAACTCAGAAATCGAAAGGGTAACGAGGTTACCCAAAAGCATTGCCATTATGAAAAGCCATAGAGCACTTGTGAAAATCAAATAGTAAAGGGGTATTTCAGTTGCTAAACTGATGCACTGAAAAAATAAAATATTGAAAGATGTATAGTTGCAAGTCATGGTGGTTAATTGAAGCAACACAAAAACGAAAATAGTGCCAATTGGAATGTACTTGTACGATTTAATGCAAGAATAATAGAAATTTCTGAACAGTTGATCGTTTTTTGACAAAAGGACAAATTCTTTATTTGGTTCTTGAAGGGATTCTTTGTATTCGTCGAATACATCGAGAAGCGATTTTTGATTAAGCTGATTGAGATGAAGTAGAAAAATTTTTACCATGCAAGGCATAAAGGTACCAAAATGGCTAATGTAATTTAACTCTTTTCGGAACGATGTAGAAACAAATCTGTCACCCAAGTACAATAAAATGGATTGATTGTCAGTAACACTGAGTACAAGAAATTGCATCGCGTAGAAAAGGTTCAATAGAAAGATGATCAAACTTTGCAATTGAAAATACTTGCAACTTTTTGATCTATCAAGAGTTCTTGTTGTTCGTTCAAAGTGCTCCAGATCATCAATGGCTCTTAATAAATCATTTTTGGTCACATTGAGATTTGAAAATTTTGAAATAGATTTAGTAGAAAAGTCGAAACGAATCTTTTTTATTTTTTCAATTTTTGTATAGCAACAACGATAACCAAGAATAAGTCTTTTCATGATAAAAGCTCGATCATTTTTAGAGGTCTGGTGATTGTTTATTCATCAATGACTGCTTAAATAAGGAAAGGAGATCAACTTGATTGAATGGAGACATGAGCGAGAAAAGTTCAGAAAACTTCAACACCTTGAAAATATCATGAATAATTAAGGTATTCGATTTATCTACCATTAACTACTTGCATCAGTTGTGTATCACGAATATCAAAATTGATTTTAATATTCTGAAGCACATTAGCGCTACTTAACTGGAACCTAATACAAGAATAAACGAAATCAATATAACCATGATTAATATACAAATGGAATAAAACTTTCAGAAGGTAAATCTCCTTGAGTCTTGTAATTTAAACCGATTCGTTTTGGATAACGACATAAATGGAAAATTACAATTATCTTGTTCCTTTTCAGTCACTTTCAAGCATTACATCGTTCATCCATCTTAGTACCGTTCATCGTTAAATAAATTAATAGATTGCTGCTTGACTGGCTCTTAGGGGCTCTCCCATCAAAGTTTTTTAATAGTGATACTAAGTACATGCAAGTACTTACAAGGGAACCTCGCCAATTGATAAATCGATATCAATGAATCGATGATTGGCATCGATAGACCACATGACCTTGAGGTCAGCTATACCAATTTTAGCTGCCACCTTTTCGGTTTCAGGCTGCTATAGGTCATTTTTATTCTGTTTTTTGCATATATTTGTAAGCTTTTATATGGTAAATCAATGTGTGTAGTGTCATTTTTTGATTTTATTCTACTCAATACATGAAAGTAAGTACAAAAAAGTGTGTTTCATGTCAATTAAATGTTATGGAAGTGTGGCTTGGTGTAAAGGTGGTAACAGCACACAGTTTTCTGACAATGGGCACATCTTATGAAAGCACATCTTTTTGTGCAATCAATTTGGCATTTCTCACCTCCCACATTGTATAAAATATCTTTAGGATGTAAAAAAGATTCAACCTGCACAGGAAATCCAGATCTCTGCCATGCATATTTAATCATGTTCATGAACGGAGGAGCTCTGAACTGGTTCCAAATCAGTGCCTGCATTTTAACAACTGTTTCACGAGTATGAACCCTTTCTAATACATTATCAATCAGAAGCCTTTCAGTGAATCTTTTATAAAAATCTTTCCATTGCCTGAAAAAATAGACATCGAGTGGCTGTAAAAAACCAGTGGTTCCTGCAGGCAGTGTCTTGAGTGTGATATCGTGCGTTTCATTTCGAAAGATAGATGCATCACGTTGAGCAGAGTAAGAATCAAGAATCAGACAAGCTTTAGACGATGCAGAAGGAAATAGGCAGTTATCACGCCAGTAGAGTAAGGTTTGTTTATCAACTTTTCCGGATTTAGTGCATGTAATAAAAAGGCCAGGAATAGTTGGTAAACTCTCTCGGACTCGCGGACCAAACTCTCCACTTGGCTCCTGAAGCACAATCATGAATTTACCACTCAATTTACCAGACATGCTTATCGGTTGTATGGTATATGAATGAGTTAATGCATGAGATGATCCAATGCGACACTCTGTGTCCCTTTCGCCTTGGAATGAAAGAGTTCTACTCCCATGAGTTTCGTAATTGAAGCCTGATTGATCACTATTAAGAATAAAATTAGGATCAAACTTTCCAACCACGTTATCTGTGAAATCTAGCAGAAATTCCACTCCTTTATTTTCAATTTCTGTCTGGTTTACTGCATGATGTTTGGTTGTAAACTTTGTAATTCTTCTTGTTACGATTTTATTTTTCTTTTTGAACGTAAGAATCCAAGTGTCTGAAGCTTTGAAGTCAGAAAGATACACTTCTGTGGCCTTTTCTAGAGCCCATCCTTTCAAGGTTGAATCGTGAACTTTTGCTCCCAGTTGTCTAGCGATTCGAAATTTTTCAAAAACGTATTCACTGATGGCGGCATATTTTTCTCGGTTTGTACCTAGATGGGACAAGTATTCCTTGAATCGTGTGATATAAGCTGGATATTTCACTCTTCTGAATGTATGATTTGTAGACTTGAATGAGTGTCCACTATTAACATAGTCAATAACACGAGTAATATAATCAAATGAAAAAACTTCTTTGTCAATCGTCATGGGTTCATGAGTGGCAACATATTCAATATCCTGTTCGCTTTCATCAAAAATGAGCTCACCATATTGTTCATGATTAATATCTTTTGTTCCATCCAAACTACTGAAAAGGTTTGCCACCGTTTCTATCAACTCTGGGTCATCCCTGTAGCAATCTTTACGATTTTTCGGTAATTTTTGAAGCACCTTTTCAACAAATTTCGCGGCTGACAAACTCATTGTTATAATTAATAACCAAAAACTTTGTAATTCGATAAAAAAACTAAGAAAAAACTAAGAAAAAAGGCACAAAAAAGTAAAATGGCGATGAGAGAAACGGAATGAAAATGACCTCTAGCGACCTGAAACCGAAAAGGTGGCAGCTAAAATTGGTATAGCTGACCTCAAGGTCATGTGGTCTATCGATGCCAATCATCGATTCATTGATATCGATTTATCAATTGGCGAGGTTCCCTTGTTAGTTGAATTACAGTTAGGTACCAGATAATGAGAATACCTTGAAATAGCTTATTTACACTATTCGCCGGGCAACTTATTTTGTTGATTATCAACTTTCTTTAAATAATCAAATTCAAGATTAATTGTTTTTTTAAACTGATTTCTTGAGTTTCTTCATTGATATTTGGCGAAAGAAAATTAGATTTAGTTAATTAATAATCAAAGAAATTTAAAGAAAATTTCAATTTTATTTAACTCTTCCATTGAGGGGTCGTTGAAAAATTGATTCTCATTATCTGGTACCTTACTGTAAGTCAATTTTAATTAAAAACAATTTTTTGCCTAATTTTAGAGCGCCATCTCCAAGATAAAAAATAAATTTCAAACACAATCAAAAATCACTTTTATTTAAATAAGATAATAAAACCAATTTTTCATTCACATAACTGCGCGTGTCTTTTTGCTTAGTTAGATAAGTTTGATGAAAATAGTAAGCTTGGTTTTGATCAAAACTATGATCAAAAAACCAAGTTTTACTAAGAAAATTAACTATTTTGTGTTGATGGGAAAGCCCTTTAATGTACTTGTTAGCATTTGATTTAGTGGTTTATATTTGGTTTTATCTTTTGAATATGTTTAATGCACATTATAAGTTATCATTTATCAAGTTAAATCTTCTTATATTATTATTATTAATTATTATTAATTATTATTAATATATTAATACCGTTTTGTTGTTTTTCTGTCAAAATTTCTCCACACTTAAACGGTCGATTGATTTTCTGTTAATCGCAAGTGAAAAATTTTGGTCTGAATGTAGCCGGAAAAATATATAACTTTTTAGAATCAAACCCTGAAACTCAGGAAAAGCAGATGAATAAAGAGACTAAAATAGACAGTAAAAAAGAAAGAAAAATATAATTGAAAGAAATCACACTTGCCATTGTTGTATATTTGAATCCGCAATATGTGCCAAAACCATTGAGAATTTCTACAAAAGACTTCAACATGTTGTAGCTTCCAATGGTCGGAATTTCGAAAATATGATTCGCTGAACGGAAATTCTTAAAAATATTCTCATTAAAAATGCTTTAATTTGATATATCATTGAACTATTGAAGTTACTTCTTTAAAAAGTTATGAGCGAAAGAATATGCTGAGTGCCTTTTGAATAACCCGGTACATTTATTTCTTTTTACCTTTTTAAGTGCTTCATTATACTCAGTGTTCATCTGAATTCAACTTATTTGTTTTTCACCGTAAATTAACTTTTGTTTACACCTTAAGTTACATTGTAGCTTTTGCCAGGATTTATAATTGTTGCCATTTGGAGTTTACTCAACGTTAACAAAGATGATTTCAATGAAAGTTAAGCCTTAAAAGCTATTAAGATGCTCGCAAATGTTTTATTTTTCATCTTGTTCTTTCATCTGTTTATTCGCCCTTACATTAACCGAAAAAAAGCAATTTAGATTTATTGCGATTTCTATCATGCTCCAATTTATTTATAGCTAGTGCTGTCAAACGTTTGTTTACATTGGTTTCTGCCATCAAATCTAAAATCCCTTGATTATTTGTATTTTCTAAATAAAATTCTAATGGAGTTCTTACAATTTGGCTCCCTAACATATTTTCAGCATCAATATTTTCCTATGGTAAATCAGTATAAATCAGTGAGTAGAATGTAGCAGCCGCAGCCCAAACCTCACATTTTGTATCTATTTGATATGTCAACCAATATTCAGGCGCACAGTCATCACCAGTATAACAACCAGTAGCACCATTTCTCATAGAAAACGGCGCATCAAAGTCAATTAGTTTTAATGCACCGTCCTCGTTAACTGTTGTATTATCAGGTTTTATATCTCCGTGTACTATTCCTTTCTTTGTGAGAAAACTCAGTACATCAAGAATCTCACCGATCCATCTGAGCAAATCGTCATGTACAAAGTTGCCTTTATATCCACCAATCATGTTTTTGAAGCTAACTCTCAAATTTTCCATGAATAGGTATACAAATGGAGTCATGCTGTAGTCATTGTTCCGAAACATAATCATTTTTGTTGCAAATTGTTCAATTACATAACAGAATTGTAATTGTTTTAAAAGTGCACACATTTTTTCAAATTTTCTTCCGCTCGTTACCTGCTCTAAACTTGGCCAAGACCCGAAAAAAGAGGAAAATGTTTGCACAAATCCAAGTAGAGTCATTATCTGAAAATTTAGATGATTTATACCACATGTTCTCCGAAGATGAAATGTTTCGAGGCGGAAACATGATCGAGTATAAATTGGAGAATGATAGAAATCGCAATAAATCTAAATTGCTTTTTTTCGGTTAATGTAAGGGCGAATAAACAGATGAAAGAACAAGATGAAAAATAAAACATTTGCGAGCATCTTAATAGCTTTTAAGGCTTAACTTTCATTGAAATCATCTTTGTTAACGTTGAGTAAACTCCAAATGGCAACAATTATAAATCCTGGCAAAAGCTACAATGTAACTTAAGGTGTAAACAAAAGTTAATTTACGGTGAAAAACAAATAAGTTGAATTCAGATGAACACTGAGTATAATGAAGCACTTAAAAAGGTAAAAAGAAATTGAGGAATTTAAGGTGAAAACGCAACTGACTCAAAATACGTTAACGATGATATAAACGTGTTAAAGGAAAGCTGTTTGTGCTTTTTTTCTGTAAAAACAAGTTTCTTTGTTATGTCAAAACAGGTTTTTGACTATAACAACCTTTTTCAAAACTTGTCAAACCAGTCCGAGGTAGTTAGTGCGAATTCATTTATCTCGCGAGTTAATCGTAATTAAAGAAATGTTTAATCTCGCAAGATCGGCCGCGGCCGCATAATGATTTTCTCATTTTTCCATTTATTGGTTTTAAATAGTTGTTTTACTTTAAATGTGCTTGAGTCAACAGCTTATTATATTTTCTCTTTCTCATATCCCTTTCTTTTCTTCATACCTTTACACGTACTAGTGTTCTAGAAGCGTATGCTTTTCCACTACTCATAAACTTTTTTACCTTTTTTTCACCATATTGTCCCCCACTCAAGCTAATTTATCCACCACAACAGCCAAATCAAACATTATCACGTTTTATAGAGACTTTTTCCAACAAATTTGTCCAACAAACTGTCCTCCACTTTAAAGTGGATTTTTCATTCATCATTTTCATTTTCATCACATTTGTAAACAATTTTATCTAGTATCTAAAGCGACTAAATTTTTGACCACTTTGGGATATGATGGCGATTAATAAGGGATTAGCTAGATGGTGTAAAAGTTATCCAAAATTTGGTGGATTTAGGTGGTGGATAAAGATACACTCTGGTGCTAAATTATAGATACACTTTTTTTATGATAACTTTTTTAATATTAGATCTACGAGAAATTGAGTTTCATATTCAGACACAGTACAAAATTTAATAACATTTTTTTTACACTTCTGCTATAGTTACGCAATCTATCAGTCTTGTATTAGTCTTAGTTTACACTTGTTATTAACAACTTCTTTTCTCATTTATTTGTCACCCTTCATTATTCAAATTTAACCCCACATTATTAACCCTTAAAGTTAATTTATATTTACATTATCAAATCGGTCCTTCCTGAGCGAGTCTTATTTATGGTTAATGTTTTTATGTCACCTTCCTCAACAGAATATTGGATTCTGAGTCTTATTTCTCAATTTCGAGAAAATAAAAGCAGCCGTTAGTCAATCAATCGAGAAATTGAGCATCATTTTTTACCCTTAAAGCTCTTTATTTTTTTCAAATCAAACAAATAACTTTCATATTAAAGTTATTTTTCTATTTGCTTCAATCAACATAGCTGTCCATTGGTTTTCATACAGTCATATATTGTTATGGTTCACTATAAATTCTAGTTTCTACTATTGTTCATAGGTAAATAATATTCAGATTGACTTTACTGATTATTTCGATTGATATTGGTACAAAATAATAAGTACAACGAGCCATATTCCAATGTAAGCTATCGAAAGTAAAGACACAAAAAATAAGTTATTTCGATGTTTGAATAACATTTGAATTTAAATGCGAAAAGTCTTACAAGCAAAGTGTTATTATTGTCAACTTGAATATAATTACCAATATATAAACACATTTTACGAGCAGCAAGCCGTTCTAGAACTTCAAGTTTCTGTTGGAACAAAAAGATTGATTGGATAAGAGATACGATTCTTAAACTATTTCTAATACAAATAATAGAAAACGAAAAGTTTCAAAAGGTCAACAAGATACACAGACTACCTTTAGAGCAATTTTCAGGTTAAATGATTTTCCAGTATCGGCTGTAAGTCGATAAATTGATCGATGCAATACGCCAGCCTAGTTCAAAAATAAACAATTAGAATTGAAAATATAAGATCGAAATACAACTCAGCACCTTTTGACCAATAACTGTTGCGTAGAGAATGGTTATGTATAAGGTTATTATACACAACGAATCGATAGAAACGAGAAGTAATTTAACACCTAAATCGTCAAATGTAAATTGGGTTAAGTAAAAGAAGATCAAAATGTTGTGAAAAGCAGTGTACACATAGATTGCCAGGAATATCCAAGCAAGTTGAGTATTGATACAATCAAGCCAATTGCTGAGTAAACAATGTTTATAATAAAAAGATGCTGCATTTTGCCAAGTGTACTCTTCGACAGAGTTTAATTTTTTGCATTCAGTTGTCAACTCAGCAATTGAAAGGGTAATGAGGGAACCCAAAAGCATTGCCATTATGAAAAGCCATAGAGCACTTGTGAAAATCAAAAAGAAAAGGGGACCAAAAACAAATAAATGGATAAATTGGAAAAATAAAACATTCAAAGATGTATAGTTGCAAGTGATGCTGATTAAGTGAAACGACACAAGAATTAAGCTGATTGAGATGAAGTAGAAAAATCTTTGCCATGCAAGGCAAAATAGTACCAAAATGTAGAATGTAATTTAACTCTTTTCGGAACGATGTAGAAAAAAATCTGTCACCCAAGTACAATTTAATGGATGGATTGTCAGTAACACTGAGTACAAGAAATTGCATCGCGTAGAAAAGGTTCAATAGCAAGATGATCAAACTTTGCAATTGAAAATACTTGCAACTTTTTGATCTATCAAGAGTTCTTGTTGATCGTTCAAAGTGCTCCAGATCATCAATGGCTCTTAGTAAATCATTTTTGGTCACATTGAGATTAGAAACTTTGGAAATAGATTTAGTAGAAAAGTCAAAACGAATATTTTTTATATTTTTCATTTTGAACAACCGCAGCAATAACCAAGAATAAGTCTTTGTATGATAAAAGCTCGATCACTTTTAGAGGTCTGGTGATTGTTCATTCATCAATAACTGCATTAATAAGGAAAGGAGATCAACTTGATTGAATGGAGACATGAGCGAGAAAAGTTCAAAAGGCTTCAACACCTTGAAAATATCATGAATAATTAAGTTATTCGATTTATCTACCATTAACTACTTGCATCAGTTGTGTATCACGAATATCAAAATTGATTTTAATATTCTGAAGCACATTAGCACTACTTAACTGGAACCTAATACAAGAATAAACGAAATCAATATAACCATGATTAATATACAAATGGAATAAAACTTTTAGAAGGTAAATCTCCTTGAGTCTGAAACAAATGACTCTATTGGAAACTATCAAGTGTGTTTGCAACTTGATTCACGTACAAAGATCGTACAAGACGTTTTCCGCATCCGTGTGGTGTGTATCACCCGGTGCTGCAAATCAGTTTAAGAAGAATCTCGCTGCTTACTTAGTCGCTCATGAACTATTGTTTGAGAGAGTTTTTAGACTGGTTGAAGCTAAAGACATCAACGGATCTATAAAAGTTAGTGGTACATTTTAAATGTTTATAAAAAAATCTCGTTTATTTTGATTTATACAAATTTTTCTGTTCTGAGTTGACTGACATTTTGTTATTCAAAAAGTACTCTCAATCATTCTGTCGTGACATCATTTAAGCGTCCATGGTAATTTAAACCGATTCGTTGGTGATAAATACGGCATAAATGGAAAATTATAAGTTAAACGAAAAGTTTCAAAAGGTCAACAAGATAGATCGACCTTTAGAGCAATTTCAGGTCAAAAGATTTTCCAGTATCAGCTGTGAAAATAACAGCTCAAAATATAATTTATAAATTAGTACCATTTGAAGATTAATGACTCAACGACAATGTAACTAAACTTGAATGTCGTGAGGAGGACCAACAGATTTAGATAAACCAGAAGAGTCTGGGTGAGTCTCATCAGTAGTGCTGATCAACAAAACAAGTGATGACAAAGAAATTGTAAAATTATTTACGGCAACAACATATTAATACATAGAGTAGAATTGAATCCGGTTTCATGTTTGGTGGACTTGACAAGACTCTATGGAAATCAAGGATACAATTTGCATGAGATGACATGTTATTGGAAAAAAATAAATGGCTATTTGACTGTTTAGCTGTCACAGAAATATTAACTAGATTATTATATTATAATAATACAAAGATTTGGCATAGCATCCAATAGCATTTTTAAGTAAACAAAATTTGGATAAACTGGTTAATGTACATGAGAGTAATTAAACGTGGGCAACATTGTAATTTCAGATTCAATAACTCATCCAATCAATTGTTATCACATGATTATTCAACTATGACAATTGTTAAGTTTCAATTTTTATCCAACTTGAGAGGTGTAAATAAAGCTGAAACTGGTTCAATTGACAAGATAACGTACCTTATCAATTTGATTGCAATTACAACAAATCTTTTGATCTTACAATAAGCCTTAAAGTGTTATAAATAAGCCACAAGTTACATTATGTCTCATAGGAAACTCAATTTTTGCAGTAATATTAACAGATGAAGTGTATTCTAATGGGTGCAAAAGAGCTCAGTTGATTCGCATTTACATTTTTCATTGATTTTATTTCTGTTTTCTGCTCAATTTTGATTTGCAATAAACTCGTTTAATCTCACTTGGAAAAGTTGATTTAAAACGGTATTCATTTTTATGTGAAAAACCAACAATAAGACAGAGTAGCTATTCATGGTAATAAAGGGTGTTAAGGTTTATTTGTTCCAAAATGGAAAAGAGAAAAAACAAGCTTACCTTAAGATAAAGATGAAAATGATGATAACATGACAATGATAATGAATTAGATGATAGAGATTCAATTACATTGGTGCTTTTCATCTTTATCTTAAGGTAAGTTTGTTTTTTCTCTTTTCCATTTTGGAACAAATAAACCTTAACACCCTTTAGTTAATAGAACCTCATGATGATTTCGTTGGGAGGAATGAATGATAACATTACTGATTTTTTCGATTGATATTTGTGCAAAATAAGAAGTACAAAGAGCCACATTCCAAGGTAAGCTATTGAAAGCATAAGAAGAAATTGACAAAATTGAGTTTATCGGTATCATTTGAATGAAAAGATTCTTACAAGTAAAGTATAATAGTTGTCAACATAAATGTAATTACCAATATAAATTCCCATTTTACGTGCAGCAAGTCGTTCTAGCGCTTGAAGCTTCTGTAGGAAAGCAAACGGATAAAATTTGTCAATCCTAACCCAAAATTTCCAAAATAAAAAGTTACAAAGATGAATTACCTTTAGAGCAACTTTTAGGTTAAAAGATTTTCCAGTATCGATTGAAAGTCGATAAATTGATCGATGCAATAAACTTGCCTAGTTCAAACAGAAATTTTAAAACTGAAATGAAGCTCAGCATTTAATTTAAAGCAACAAAATAAACTTGTACCTTTTGACCAATAAGTGTCCATGCATAGTTGTTTCCGTATATTACAATCAATATCAACGAGTTGCAAAAGATGAGAAACAATTTGACATCTAAATTGTCAAATGTGAACTGAGTTACGTAAAAAAAGATCAAGATGTTGTGGAAAGCTCCATACAAATAGATTGTCGTGAATATCCAGGCCACTTGAGCATTGACACAATCGATCCAATTGCTGAGTAAACTTTGCTTGTAAAAAAAAGACTCTGCATGATGACAAGTGTAATTTCCTACTGAAACCAATTCATCACATTCAGCTTTTAGCGAATCAATTACATTGCATGTGAAAAAGCTCACAACTGCCATCATTAGTAAAAGCCAAAGAGCACTGAATAATAATGGACAATAAGTTACAAGAAGCATAATTACATGGATCATCTGAAGAATGAACCGTTGCAAAGTTGAATAATTGTAAATGATGTTGGTCAAGTGTAACAACCAGAAACCAATGTTGACACCGATTGAAAAGTACTTGTATAATTTAATGGATAAACTAGGTCAGCCGTGAAGCGGCGTAGTCTGAGCGAGCGTTGAGTCAAATACAAAGACTTTTAGGCAGAATTTGCGAAGAAATAAATAGTCATTGGTTACTCGTAATCTTAAAGTATCAAAATCCTTTATGCAAGATTTTTTAGCCGAAATCGCTTATTATCAAAATTTCGAGAGCAAATTTGTTTTTGCAATCCTTAAAATTATATTTACAAATTAAGAAGGAAGATTCAGAAAGTTCTAGAATAGTTCAAATTTTTTTGGAGAAAAAATAGAACCACTGAAAATAACCACTTACTGAAGGTATAAGGAACTTTTTAATAATGGAATTTTGCACAGGTAACATGAAAATACTTTTTGACAAGTTTCATCCACTTAGGCCCTGTATTTAACGAAATCGGTTTTTGGCCTATAAAACGGAAACGGAAATTCGTAAACAAAAATCCTTTCTTTCTGCACTTTTTCATAGTGATGTCCATCTATGGTGAAAATTTGAGAGGGTTAGGTGTTACGGTTTGTGAGCTATCGATGACCAAAGTTTGATTTTTTGAAATTTTTGAGCTGTGGACTAAGTCTTCGCTTCGCTCAGACTAATAATAAGATTTTCTGAATAACTTTTCATTTTTCAATGAAAAGCTGAACTTTTTATTCGACTCTTGAAGGCAACTTTTGTATTCATCGAAAATATTGAGAAATGATTTTCTGTAAGACTGACGATGATGAAGTAAATAAATCTTTACCATGCAAGGCATAATTATGCCACAGTGTACAATGTAATTCAACACCTTTCTTTCCGATGAAGAAACGAAAAAGTCACCCGAGTAAAATATAATGGTTTGGTTGTCGGTGATACTGAGAAATAGGAAGTGAAAAGCTTGAATAATGTTCAATATCAATATAAGTAGACTTTGCGATTGAAAATATTTGAAACTCTTTCGACGATCCAAAATTCTGGTTGATTGCTCAAAGCACTCCAGGTCATCAATGGCACTTAGTAAATCATTTTTAGTCACATTCAGATTGGTAATAGATTTGATAGAAAAGGTGAAACAGAATCTTTGTATTCTGTGCATCTTTGAATTGCACCAATGACCAAGAAAAAGTTTATTCAAAAGAAGTTTACAGATTTTTGACATTTTTAGAAATTTCGGTTTACTTGCTAATCGTCTAGATAAAATAAATGATTTGATCTGAAGGAAATTCGTTTCTTCATTAGTTTTAAGAGTTTGATGAATAAGAACGGATAATATCAATATAATGTGAAATAATGCAAAACTTCAATTTTATAACCATTAACTCTCTGTAACAGTCAAGTGTCACGAAAATTTTTATACTGGTCTTTCAATGACATTTATAACTTTTCAATGCTAAATTTCAAGCTAAAACTTAAATTTCATATTTTATTCAATGTTTGTCTGGCGCTATCGCAATTTCAGTCATAATCAGATCATATAAGATGATTTGCCGTGTAAGCCTGAAGGGTCACATTTGAATATCTCGATTTTTTCTGCCTTATTTAACTTTAAATTTTGGTGCGTGCATCATTGTCTTGATCATCGTCTTAATCAATGTTATCGATCCAAAATCATGTTCAGAGTTGTTAGTTTCACCATGCAAAATCAATGCTAAGAATAATAAAATGCAGAATCAAGTTGAAATCACTTCCTGTCAACGTCATTTGAATGCTCACGTTCGCTAAATAAACTGAAAAATGGATGAGAGTCATTAGCAAGCATTACGAAACAGAGGTATCCACATACTAGGCGTTTTTTATCCCGTAAGCCTGTTAGCAGTCATAAAGCAAAAAACGATTCAAAAAGCCATAAGTTTGAACGTTCAATGTCAAGATCACTTAGTTTGCCGCTAGCTGACGTTTGAAAGTTATTTTCTGAGAGAGTGAACTTTTCCAGATTATTTGATATTTTTTACATATTCATGACTTATGCTATTCAATGGATAAGAATGCTTCCATGCCGTTTTGTTAATCAATTGGCTTTGAGATAAATTCATTTATCTTTCCAGCGGTGTAAGTTTTTAACTTGAAACAAACATCAAAACATCTCAAGAAGATTGTTTTTGCAGCATCTCGTTTGTTTCGGTTGATGATATTTAAGCATTTTCAATACAAGATAATGCATTTCATTCACTGAGAAGTTCATAAAATAAAACAAATTTTAGCAAAAAAATGAAAAAATATGTTAATGAAAATGGTGAATCACCTTTCAGTGACTGCAATAGATTACAATGCAAAATCTTAGCTTCAAAATGCTTAAATATCATTAACCACGCGCCAGTGAAACAAAAGTAAAAAATGTGTCTCATTATTTTTCGTCCTTTACAATGTTAGTCCGAAAAATTTCATACAAGAAAGGACACTTACCTTGATAGATGAATTGAATTTATTTTTAAATTGAAATACTATTCTATGGACAAAGAGTCGATAAAACTCAATTTTCTACCCAGTATAATTACAAAACGAACAAAGTCAATAATGAACGATCAATTTAATCGTTGAAAACTAAATTTTAATGATACATCTATTTACTTATTTACAATTAGATATTAATAGATTACATGATTTTCGTTAGACTTTCAATTGCTCAATTTTACTTGTTTAACTCATAGTTAAACACAATTTTTCTTACCAAATGATCCATTCTGTTGTAGATAATAGTAACTAATGTATCCAGTATAAATGGAAATCAAGTTTTAAGGTAATTTTCTCGAGAACAAGTAATCGAATCCAGCTTAAATTCTAGAAATCGATAGAGAGCATATTTGAGTACATAAAACTAAAAAAACAGAAAAATAGCACAATTAGTTTCCAACATGATAGGACGTAAGTAGGACGAAGAAAATGATTAATTACTACTGGTGTTCGTTCAACTACTGCAGAATGGCAGAATCTTATTCTTGATACTATGAGAAAGGCACACTTGATTAGTCTGATTTAAATGACGGCTTGACTTTACATATTGCTTCTATTGATATTTGCACAGAATAAATAGTATAAAGAGCCACATTCCAAGGTAAGCTATCGAAAATCAAAACGACAAATTAAGTTATCTTGACTAACATTTGATTGATAACAATGGATGATTCCTTACAAGTAAAGTGGTATAGTTGCCAACATAAATATAATTACCAATATAAGCACCCATTTTACGAGCGGCAAGCCGTTCCAGCGTTTGAAGCTTCTGCAGGAAAAAAATGATGAAATTCATGTGTTTGCTTAAAAATGAAACTTGACTACCTTTAAGTTAAAAGTTTTTCCAGTATTGATTGAAAGTCGATAAATTGATCGATGCAATATGCTAGCCTAGTGAAAAAATAAGATTGAAAATGTAATCTCAACATTTAAAAAAATAAAAATAACTTGTACCTTTTGACCAATAAGTGTCCCTGCATAGTTGCTTCCGTATATTATTATCAATATCAATATGTTAGCAAAAGAGAGAATCATTTTAACAAACAAATTGTCGTATTCAAATTGGGTTAAGCAAAATAAGATCAAGATGTTATGGAAAGCGCCATAGACATAGAATGTAATGAATATCCAGGCCACTTGAGCATTGATACAATCGATCCAATTGTTTAATAAACCATGTTTATGAAAAAAAGACTCTGCATGATGACGAGTGTGACTTCTTACTGAAATCAATCTATCACATTCAGTTTGCAGCGAATCAATTGCATGATATGCGAAAATTCCCATTATCATTGTGATCAAAGCAAACCATAAAGCACTTGCTAAGATTGGATAGTAAATAGTCAAAAGGATAGCCATATGGATCACCTGAAGAATGAAATGTTTCATATTTGCATAGTTGTGAATAATGTTGATAAAGTGCAACAACGAAAAAATGATAAAAATACCGATGAAAATGTACTTGTATAATTTAATGAATAAATAGTACGATTTTCTGAATAACTTTTCATTTTTCAATGGAAAGCTAAACTTTTTATTCGAATTTTGAAGAGAACTTTTGTATTCATCGAAAATATTGAGAAATGATTTTCTATCGAGCTTAACGAGATGAAGTAAATAAATCTTTACCATGCAAGGCATCATTATGCCACAGTGTACAATGTAATTCAACACCTTTCTTTCCGATGAAGGAACAAAAAAGTCACCCAAGTAAAGTATAATGGTTTGGTTGTCGGTGATACTGAGAAATAGGAAGTGAAAAGCTTGAATAATGTTCAATATCAATATAAATAGACTTTGCGATTGGAAATATTTGAAACTCTTTCGACGATCGAATATTCTGGTTGATCGCTCAAAGCACTCCAAGTCATCGATAGCACTTAGTAAATCATTTTTAGTCACATTTAGATTGGTAATAGATTTGATAGAAAAGTTGAAACAGAATCTTTGTATTCTGTGCATCTTTGAAATGCACCAATAACCACGAATGAACTCTCTCATAATAAAAACTATGAATTGTTGCCATTTGAAGGAGCTGTTGATTTACTTGTTCAAATAGGAAAAATAATGAATTGAAAAGTATTTATTCTTATTTATATTCAATGAAACAATCAATTTTTTCAAGTCAAAAGAGTTGCATTATATCAACCAAGAATATCATCATCATTTAAAACAATCACAAACTTTCGATATATTATACATTTACTCACTTTATCAGTTCCGTGTCAGGGATATTAGAAATATAAATGAAAACGTGTATAAAGATTCCCGATTCTCAGCCACAATCTTATGCAACGTAGGAAATTAAGTGGTTAAAACAGTTTTGTATTCAATATTATAGTTATTATACAGCATCGAAAGTAAAGTTAGAGCTGGTTACGTTATCTTTTGCACATTGTTTGGTAACCAAGAATTTCGATAGTCAATTTTTTGCGATAAATTAAGCACAATCAAAAACGATTCAATGCCTTCACCAATGAATCTCAGGTTCATGTTGATGTACTTAATTTATCTCTAAAACTTAACTACTAAATATGCTTTGTTACCAAAAGATAACGTAACC